GGTGACTGAGGGAAGCTAAGGTCAGGTTGGATAGGAGCTAGAAGGACAAAACCTCTGTCATGGCCCCTGCTCCCTTTCAGGGGGTCAGCCCCGCACCTCTTCCACAACAAGGTCTCCCCCCCTGCCCCAGGACACCCACACCCAGGCCCACCTAGGGACCCCAAACCAGCACCATTCATTGGGCTCCCACCTACCCTTCAGGCCTGAGGATCACTCAGAGAGGGAACCACCATGAGCTGCCACTGCTACTGCCCCCTCCTCATCTCACAGCAGCTCTGGGGTCAGCATGGAAGCCACTAGCCAAAGTCAAGGAGAAAGGAAAATCTAGCAGCAAAGGCAGCTGCAGGTAATAAACTACATCAGCTGAATAAATGCAGACAGCTGGTGATGGGGTGGGTGACAGGGCACAGAAAATGGAGACCAGGTGATTCCCCTCAGTGCCCCGGGCTGCAGGACTGCCCAGCCTGCGCTGAGGGGAAATATGGCAGACATGGCCTCCAGCACAGCAACTCCCACAGCCTGTCCCTGCCTCTGTGCCTTGTTTCAGATCTCTGCTAAATAATTCTTGCTTTGAGTAGATCTAAGCAGTGGGGCTGATATCGGCCATCAGCTGACACTTTTGACACTCCCAGTATTGCTCCCAAAGCGCCAAAAAACCCCCCCGCATATATGTTTTTTGGAACAAAAAATTCTAATAGCATTACTGAGTGAGAAAAAGCACCTTTTTCTTGTTGTACTGTCCAAGAGCAGAAGTCAGTCACAGAAAATTCATTTGAGTTTAGAAGGAGTATTTTATACTCTGGATGAGTCTCTTCAGATGTATTAGTAGCAGGGAATATCACCCTCCACAGATTTTAGATATCCTTCAGTTAAAGGAGTGTGTGGGTTTTTCTTTAATTAAAATGATTTTTTGGAAGAAAAATTAAGTTCTTAGAGACATTATGAGAATTTATGGCACTCACTGGCTAAACTAGTACTCGGAAGTGAACAGTTTCACAGGCTGAGTCTGTACTGCTTGGCATGTGTACAAATATTGCATGCATAAATACTGTGCAGCAGCGCAGTGCCAGCCGCCTGGCTCCTGCTCCCAGCGCCGGTGATGTTGGGTGGCTTGCTTCATTTCACTTTGCTTCTCTCATCTGCAACTTAGAGATAATTCTTCTCAGCTCTGCGGTGATGCCAGGCTTGATTCATGAATGTTTTAAAGCATTCTGTGATGTTCACCCTGAAAGGTGCTTGAGAACCATAAATTATTACTTTAATATAGATAATAGTTTTCATCTCATGAATGTTTTATAGCACCACTCCAAATTCATGCCTGATATAACTCTAATAACTTGAGCAGAGTTAAACTAGGGATAAATTTGGTACAATATATGAGGCAGTGAAATGAAATTCAAAGTGTGAGACCGAGGGCTTACCAACTGGCATTGCATACACAGTAGTGTCAGAAACCTACCCCACTGCCCTTTTACCTACAGCAAAAGTATCAGCTCATGGCACTCTTTAACCTGTTAAGGTTTGATTCATCATTAAATGCCTGCTTCATGTCAAAAACCTATTTTTCTAATATGTTCTATTGCTATACATATGTAGTTTGTATTTATTGAGAATTAGTAGCCTTGATCATGTATTTGCTATCTGTTTTGACCCAGATATTTCAGTTGAAAGCAGATTATTTTTCACAGGAACAATCCTTTTAATAAGACACTCCTACAGCTTCCAGTGCTTAGTCATGGGAGCATAGGACATAGGACTAGGAGGGGTCCTCTGGGTCACGGTCCTCTAGGTCACAGTCCACTTCTCAAAAGCAATCACATCATAAACAGCCATGTAGAAAGCTTGTCAAAAGCCATTTTAAATAGATAGGCTTTTTGTCCCCCTTCTCTGAAAAAAAATACTGTTCATACATTTCACTGCTGTGATAGATTCTTTTCGTTCCCAGACCAGATCTATTCATGGCCAGTTTAGATCTCTTTGTTGTCGTGCCAGTCTTTCTCTATAGCTGAAATAACTTTCCTCCTCCAATGTCATCTAACCACTCTCCCTTTATGTATACATGAAGAATAATTATGTTCCTACTCACTCTTCAATTTGTTAGCCTAAGCAAGTCAAACCCGTTTAGTCTCCCTGTAAAATGTGCTCTGTATTCCTGTGATCATTTGGGTGGCCCATCTCTGATGAATTTAGTGTATATGTTCACATAGTAAGAGAGTCAGAGATTTTGTTTTCTAATTAAACAAAAATACTGCAAATGCAGCAGAAAGAAGTCACAACTTAGTAAAAATTAAATCTTGGTGTTTGCTGGCAAAATTGATGAAGTGGCTATTATGACCAATCTTCTTTTGGTCTGATGGTTGAATTTTATCAAGGGACTTTGAACAATACACTGCTGACATCAAACTAATGAAGGCCTATTGCTGAGCAGGTCTTCCTGATATAAAGGACATAATAAAGAAATTTCTAGGGACATGATAACTAGCTTTGGAAAGAAAAAAAATTTGCCAGACATCTGCTACTTCATACTTCAGTTGAACCTTGGAGAAATTCAGATCTTTGTTGATTCTAGTCTCCTTCCCCTTTGCGACTCTCATTCTTAGCATTACTGCTGGTCTCCCCAGAGTTTATCCTCCTACCCCTGCAACAGGTTTGGGCAACAAATTGCCTTTCCAGTTGGTCTTCAGATTTTCTATTCTTCACTGTCTCCAGTGAGTGATCTTGGCTGTCTTGGTTCTCATAATCCTTCTTCATTCCCTCTTTCCCCCATTATTTCCTATTAAAGAAAATTTCCATGGAATGTAATGGGAAACTTGCTAAGCATCCATACCTTATGTGATAATGTACCCCACTGATACACTCTTACAGATACAGAAACAGAATATTTCCTATGAAGTTTTTACATTTACAGTGATTCCTATAGAACCTTGTCTGTCTTCCCTCCTGTCCCCCTCCAAACGCTGTAGGACTTTTCTTTATGCTGTTATTATATCACAGAATAGATCACTGAAAATCCAGCTGATCCAGAGGCTTTGACGATCTTTCTGCTGGATGCTATGTTCACCCATATAGGCAATTTGTTGCAAAAGTGCAGCAGCTGTTACTAACGCTAGTTGCTAGAATGGGATGCGTAAATGCAAAAAGAAAAATGTATTCAGGCAATTTTTGCTGATATCTGGATTTGATCATAAAGAAACTTTTAAAATACTGAAAGTAATTTGGACAAGAATTAACTAGGCATCCACCTTCATTTTTTCACCAATAGAAATAAGTAAGAACTGTCACCAAATCATAAACATAAAAATAAGGTCCTCTTAAGTCTTAAATATCAGTATTAAGTAAAAACATAGACATGGAGATAATGTGGGTACTGTAGAGCCACCTTTAATGGAAATCAAAGGTGTGCAGTTGGTATAAAGACAATTTCCAGTCAAGTGTTGAGATTTACCAAATTAAGCAAGTATCTTCCGTGCATTGAATAAGACAGCAACCTGGACAATCAATTCAAAGAGTTAAAAACCCACATGATTAAGTCACCTGTAACATGCATCTGCAGTCTGGGTTTAGCATATGCAGAACTGAGTTTGGGACAGTATCGTTGCCAGATTTCTAAATTAAGTGTCCCACATTTGCATGTTTGCTACACACAGGTGGGCAGGCAATCACTCATCTGTCTTCCATGTTACTCATGTAAATTGGTATTTTGGTGCAAAACTGTAAGGTCCTGAGCAAATGCATAAGTGCACATATTATACAGGCCGTCAGCTTTAGGTACCAGCTGAAATGTTTGATCCATAAAAATAATGGACTTTTTATTTCAATAGCTCCAGGATTTTCTTGCAACATTGTAATACAGAAATCAAGTACTGAACAGTTACAGTGAATCTAAGCTGTTTTGCTGTAATAACTTTAGAGGCAATCCTCCTGCCGGAGTAGCTAAATGCCAGTAATTAACAAATATAAAACAAGGATGAGTAAATATCTTTTTTGTCAGTTTTACTCCATGTTAGTATCCTAAATGTAAAAGTTCACCTATATCTGAGAGAAATTTTTGAAAATTCAATAATGGGAAAAGAGTGAGAACAGAATGGGGAGAAGGACAGCAGAGAGGATAAAAGTAAAGCTAGAATAGCTCCAGATGAAAGTAACAGAGAGAAAACATGTTTTCACATTATTAAACATAAAGTAAATGCAGGCCACACCATCAGACATCCATCCACCTCAGCTTAGGTCTTGATCCTCCAATCAGAGATAGATTGCAGAGAGGAGACTTTTATTTCTGAGACTGCTTTACTGTTTTGTCTTTTTAATCTCTAATATATGAAATAGCCTGTAATAGAGAGATTTCTTTTAAGTAGCAGAAAACTAATGCGTTCATGCAATTACAATAAAAAGGAAAAACTGTTCATAAATAAAAACTGTATTATGAGTCTTCACACAGTCAAAACTCATGCAGGAAGTTCATACATTCACCAGGCTCCATCCACTGTCATTCATATGTCTTTGTATTGCACAGAGGTGTTTTCTGTCTCAGCAGGTTATTGTTTAATGGGCTAATGCATATTTGCTAGATGAAATGGTATTGTGGACGTTCTGTGGGGAGGCATGTTACTTGTGAAAAAACAGACCCCTTCCAAACAGTAAAAAAGCCCTGCTTAGCCTCCTGGTGATAGAGAAGGCCAACTTCTCCCATTGATTTAAAGGGAGTTACATCAGGCTTGTATACTTTAGCCCTATAAGCAATAGTATGCAATAATTGCTATGGAAAAATCACCTTGCTGCTTTATTTTTGTGCAGTTTGTAAAACTGAAATATAATTTTGCCCCAAAAGAGTGACTAAAGATTTTTATTTTAAGCCCAGAGCTATTTGTACATCCTCTAATTGCAATATCTAACTCTCTCACAATCAAAAATAAAGCGCATTATATTGTGAGAATATGTTTTGTTTCTTTAAATTCTGCATCCCATCAACACTCTGTGACCCTGGGGTTTTTTGTTGCTAGCTGGTGAATGAGCAACAAGAAAGCAGACCCCTTCTGAGCCCCTCCATTGATGACTTTCTCTGTGAAACTAAACCAGAAGCTGTTGCAAGGCCTGTAACATCAAATACTGCAGGTAAACAAAATTCTTTACTATCCCTCACTAGAGAGAAATAATTTTAGTTTTATCTTAATTACAGTACCTTTTTTGCCCAGTGCTTGCTTTATTTGTTACTATTTGTACAAAATTACAAGCTGTTATTAAATTATAATTGTTTGATCTATTAGTAGAAAAAACTTTGTTCATTACATTTGAGGGTGAATCTGATGTGATCCAAATCACATGTATTCTAGCAGATCTCTGGGGTTGAATTAAAGGGAACTTGTTTAAGTTCAACATGAAGTACATATCCATTTGACCAATTCTCAATCTTTGTTTCTGCAAAATTTTAACCTATGGGAAAGCCACATTTAGTCTGGTTTTAGCCAAACTGATTCCTTACTCCAGAAAGATTTGCTTTAACAAAAACTTGGATGGGATGCCAGAGAAAAGTGAAGAGATATCAAAACAGTTTATCCAGGCTGAGTTTGGGCACTTTATTAGTGAAAGGATCTAACACATTTTTTAGCTCCTTTGTGTTGCGATGAGATAGTAGAGCAGATAATAAAAACTAAGAGTGAATCCTGAAAGCCTTTTGAATTATATTGAATTATATTGACTTATATTTGAAGTATATTGTCCTTTGGAAGTGTTTTCAGAAATTGGCCTCCTCCTATTTGGTATTTATGCAAAGGTAATTAAAGCGATTGAGCAGATCAGCTGAGATACAATAAAATCAGCATAGCACTACTATGTTCTATTGCTATCTCATAACATGACTTGGCTTGTTAGAAGCTATTTAATTAAAATCTATATACATGCAAATTATTAAATGAAAAATTGACAGCTGGGTGATTATCTTCACATCTAATTAATATATGTCTAAAGCAATATGCAAGCAAACAAAAACTGGAAAACTGAATTAAATAACAATTGTAAATAGTATTTTTTTTTGCTTTAATATAGCTAAAGATATTACAGGGCTGAAGAGAAATATTTCAGGTTGTTTAAGAGTGGTGTTTATTGTAAAAAAGTAAGTATCTGTAGATCCTATATCTGCCTTGAATATCTATCAGGTTCGGGGGAGTTAATTAGATTTATTTGATAACAAAATAAAAATTTCTTATTTTATGAAGATTGATGAAATTCGCTGATTTACCAAGAACACAGATAAAACACTGCAAGAGATAATACAAATTGATCTGTCAAAAACACCTGCCCTATAAAATGAGGATAAAGACTGAGTTTTTCTATGTGACAAAGAATTTTAAATGTTACTCTTAATTTAAGCAACTTTTAAATGGAGAACTGAGACTAACATGCCTTTTATACTTATCTATTCCCTAATAGAAATAGCAGTAGAATTTATAATTATATTCACTATTTATAACCCAAAAGACAAACAGCAAGAGTAGAAACCATTGCTAGACATACCATTATTCCTTTATGACCCAAGAAGTCCACCCAAGAAGCTGTCTACTGTTCAGCTTTTTCTGTAATGGCACGCGACACAACAGTAGTGCCCTAAGCAGCTGTTACTATTACTTGATAAATGATAAGATTAATAAAAGCTCAATTGTACAGGGAACCCTCACAACATAAGAAAATCTGTGGAGTAAGGCCACAGCCTTAAGTGGCCTTACGATCTAAGATGTCTTTAAGATTTTCAGAGGAAAAGCCTTTTGTGCAAATCAAGCTTTTTTAAAACTGGATCCAGTTAAGCACCTGAAATCCCTAGTCATATTTGAATGTGCTGGTCATCATCTTTAGCCAGGAAATATACATCTACTCTAGTCAAATGCAAAATTACTAGTAATTTTTTTCCAATTAGAACAAATTTTAAAAAGTGAGCTATTCGAGTTAAACCAACATTGAATTCTAACATTTTGTCTCTAAGTATTATCAACAGGTCTGGATCTCTTGGATCTTAGTGAACCTGTCTTACAAACCCAAAACAAAGCAAAGAAATCAGAGAATCCATCAAGAAGTGAAGGCTTAAAAGCTTCAACCCACAGAAAGAAGACAGACAATTCTGACCTTATCAGTGTGGATACTGAGCAGAAAGTCCAGACTGTCAGAGGTTCAGACAAATCTTCACTAGATTTAGGTAAGAGTGTAGCTATCTTATTAGTGGTACATAGCCTTGCTTCACACAAGTTTCTCCTTGCTACTCTCACAAAATAACAAGCAACACCAGAATTTTTGCTGCATCGCATTTTAGCAGGAGCGTAACCTTTGTTCCACATTATAAACTACTCGAAATGCTTTAAACTTAAAACACTGTGATCACATTTTGCCTCTTGCCTTTGCCATTATACCCATCAACTTGTCACTAAATGTGCAAATAAAGTTTTGAAAGGATTCTTTCAGGAAAGAATTTAGTCAGCGTGAGTAAAGTGGTATCATAAGAAATTGGTAAAGGACACAAATCAGAGGCAGCCCATACTGGATGTCCTTTTCAGAACTGCAGATGTCAGAAATACACATTATATTTGTAATTACTGCTTTATCTATGCATACAAGAGAAAAAAAAAAATCCATTCTTGACAAAAGATCTATATTTATACAGACTGAAAAAAAAATCCCAAACGCAACTCAATATCCTGCCAAGCATGATCTATAGATGAGCTTTGGAAAAGAGGAATTTAATTTAGTTCTATCCAAACTAAATTACTTGCACTGCAAGTGAGAAATTTGCAAGGTAAATGTAATTTATACCAAGGTAGCAAATTTTTCATTCACCAGCATAGAAATTCTTTTAGAGAACTTTATCTTCAAGCAGGAGCTGAACATCTGATTTTTGCAAAGCAAGTCCAACATATGACAGGAAAATATCAGTTGCCTACACAGTCATTTTTAAATGGTAGTCACTAACAGAAGTTTTATTTTTACAATTTGACTACAATTAGAAAATTAAAAATATCCCAAACTATCAAATAGTATAATTTTATCAACAGATATAAATTACATACAAATCCCTGATTTTAAATCAAGAGTTCCACTGATACTGACCACGAAAGCTAATAGATTTAGAAAATTGTTGTGAATTCCCAAATATTTTCACAGAATATCAGCTAGAAAGGTATTTTGGACCTTAACTAAAATATAGTCTTTGGTGGCACCATTTTCTCTATAATGTACATTTAACAGAGGAGATAAAATTTTCTGCAGTAGTTTCTTTAAAAGATTAATATTTTGTTTTCTTATTTTTCAGTTGATATTCAGACACAGCTAGAGAAATGGGATGATACCAATTTTCATGGAGACAGGAGTAGCAAGGTCCACCCTTCTGCAGAGCGAACATCATCATCATCTAGAGCTCCATCAAAAGAGCTTTTATGGTACAACTTTTTTCTTTCCTTACAAAAGTATTTCCAGTCCAGCTTTCTTAATTCACAGAAATGCTCACTTGATGACAAGTCATATTATTAAATCTGTTATGATTACATTAAATGAGTTCAAGCAGACATTTTGGACAATGTATCATAAGCAAGTACACTCTAAAATGACATTTTGCCACCAATTTTTAATGTTGTGAAAAGTAGCAGGTGCAATTACTAAATAAATGGTGGTGAGAACACTACAGAGGCATGCAGTGATCCAAAATCAACTACAAACATGTGAGTAAAGTGGGTAAAAAAGGATACTTGGCAATGATTTGACAGTCACTGGATATCCAGTGTATTTTGGTTTTGCTACCATAAGGGCAGAATTTCTATGTATAACTGGGACAGGCAAGATAAAATATCCAAGCCAACTACTACCTCTTTCATGCAGTTCAACTAAAATTGCAGGGGTTGTAAATGAGGGAAGAATTGGACTGTGCCTTTGGGAACAGTTCATGTACATTAATTCTGCTCCCTTCCTGATATGTAAGCAACACCCATTCACTACATTATGCATGACCTTAATTAGCATTTTCATACACTAGAAGCAGTTTTCTGACAAAATGATGCTTATCTTGTATCTTAACCTGCCCGTTATCTGGATGTTTCATTAACTTAGAGCTCTACGCAAGTTTTGCTCAGTTAACTCAATTTTGGTCTACAGGGTTTCACTTTCTAGGAAGAAAGAATATTAGGATATTGTGGCACAAAAATGCACATATGCCAAGGTGAAGTCCTGTAATGCGGTGGTTGATTCTTAGACACTGACTGCAGGTACAGCCTCATTTTGCCTGACTGTGAAATAGAAGCATAGCAGTAGAGGCAAAGTCTTAATTCCATCATACTAGTTTCATGCCAATATATACTCAGGGCTGTACTGGTGAATCAGGCCTGACTCTGGTCTGTTGTATTAACTATTGTCTGCATGCGACTGAAAAGCCAAGAGTGGGAACACTGAGAAGGGTCCAGGCACTTCTGATAACTGCAAGTTAAACAATTCAGTTAAAAGAAATAATCTAATTAATCAGTACATGCTTAGAAACCTGAAAGACATAAGGCAGTGTGTGTTAATGTGCAGTGATGAGTATGTAAATGCATTATTTCTAGGTCCACAGAAAACAGATCACAGTCTGAGCTGACTAACGTCAAGAGTGCCTTGGACTCTGATTCCATGTCAGAATTAGAACTTGCACCTGCAACACAGGTAAGAGGATTTGGTAGATTTATTAACAATAAAAAGACAAGGAGGAATTGTCCCACTGGCTAACTGTTCACATTCTGGAAGAACTATTTAAGCGATATTTTCAGGACCATCAGTTAAAAGATTCATACAGCCAAATCTTCACACAGCTTCCAAATTAATATGTTACGAAAATAACTATGTCAGCATCTCAAACATTCAGAGTTTAATATTGCATTGAACTGTGACTTTCCTGTACAGAGAGAAAGACTTCAAACTGCAATTTACAGCATCACCTTTTTTCCCTTCCTTCAGTTCTGAAATTCAAACTTCTAATGGTTCCCTCTTCCTGTAATATATGTGTTCTCAAGGTCTCTTGGTCATCCAGGAATCCCCAGAATTGGGAAATGGCTAGGGAATACAGGAAGGAAACATTAGACCAACGGTCACTAGCAGTTTATCTCCACAGGTGGGAGAGCAGTGTGGTCAAAGGAGTTTTTCCTGCTGGAAAAGGAACTCTAATACAGAGGGCTCTGGGCTGAAGGTTTGTAGATTTGCCCAATTCTGCTGTCGTATTGTATATTGGACAGGACCTTGTGGAAATGATTACTTAGAGTTGTATGGGTTTAGATATGTACGTATGCATATGTATGTACAGATATGTATGTACAAACATACATCTATATATGCATTCACATAGATCAGGTTGCTTATATACCTTCTTTCCTGCTTCTTATTTTTTAACTGAAAGATTTCAAATTCAGCCAGTGCCACCAGCAGAGGGAAGAGAGAGTTGTTTGGTGGATTAACTTTTAATTGAAAATAATTTTCTCCTCTTCCACAGCTCTTTTTAGGCCTGGACTTCAAAACCTTTTTGTCAGATGGAAAATCTGGAAATTAATGGAAAATAATAGCCTGATTTGAAAATGGAAAAATGGACACTAAAATGCCAAATGTCTTTCCTGAGATTATGCATAATTTTTTTTGCAGAAAATAGAAATAGAACCCAGTTATCAGGATCCATTCCTGTGTTTTGGTTAGGAAAAAAGTCTTGTTTACTTCCCTGCCACCTCTACATTACAAACAGGATTTTTTTTTCCCCTTTGGAAAGCCTAACCCTAGTTGTAATGCATGATACCTTTCCTTTTTGTACAATAGATTTGTACATCTTAGTAATGGAAAAGATCTATTCCACATTATCATCCACTTGAGATGGACAGTGTGTTTTCACATGCTTTGTGCAGCTTATCTTTAAGTACCTCAAACTCCTTTTTGGGAGGCTGTTCCTCAGCCTAGTAGATCTAAATGCTAGGAAGTTTGTGCTCAACTGAGATGTGTGTAAATCAAGTAGACAGTCACAGAATTAAAGTGCTATGGCTTTCTGTAAAAGCAGTTACAAATTTAATATATAACATATCTACTTTATATGGTCTATTTCCGGTGTATCTTCCACTAGAATAACTGCAGAAGCAAAAATCCGCATTTTTAATTCAGTAAGAGTTCAGTCAGTTGAGGCCCCATACTATTTTGTAAAATGACTAGTATTTCAAAATAAACAAAAATGTGAAGTCGAATCAGCCAACTTGAAAAAGAAGCAGAGTATAAAATTCTTATCTGTTGTTCTGGTATATTTCATGTTTTGCTTTGGTTTGGTTTTTTTTATCATAAGCTGCTTTTTTTCAAACTTGTGATCCATTCAAGTCATGAAGTGTTGTTAAACTGGTAATTAGTAGTACAGAGAAATGACCTGAGGTGAGATTGCATTCTTACTCTAGGTAGTTTACTTGGAAATTTAATATTTTCATTCACTGCCTGCTTCATCCTGCTTGGACTGTCAAAGTTGTCAGTTCCCAACAGCCTCATCTGTCTTGACTGAGTTCTTAATCTGCTTGTAAAAGAAATCACGTTAGAGCTTTTATCAAAGCATATGTTTTCCATACTTTGTCCTCTGTAGATCTTGTCTATCTCATTTAAGGGTAACCTTTCCATATGCAACAGATTCTGCCATACCCTAAAGATTTCATCTTGTCAAACTTGCTGCAGTTTTCCATCAGCACTTTCTCAGACAATCACCTTCATCACTCACCTTTGACATGTTAAATTTAGTTCCTGAAAGTGAAATACTAAGTAACTAGGTCATATTTTCATTAAAATTATGCAATCTTCTTAAGAAAATCCTGTGTTTACCAACACTTATGCCACTACAAAATCGCAAAGGCAAGCTTTGAATTAATAAGGAAGAAATGTGTTTGAAGGCTGGAACAGGAAATAGCGTGGTGGCTGTCTTTGGATGTGACTGTCTCGCTTCTCCATATTCTACTCACGTCATACGTTACCTATTATTAACTTTTAAACTACATTGGCCCAAAGTAACTTTGTTCTTTCTTTTATCTGCCTTTCTGAAAAGTTTCTTGTTACGCTTTTATTAGTACTGAGATATCCTACAGTGTTTTGGGTTTTTTGAAGGTTTTTTTTTTCTCTTATAATTACAAACTGCAGAGGGAGATAGTATGTTCAATTGTATATATAATAAAGTCTGCTCGTGTTTTAACTCTCTAAATGCCTCCCTGGGCATTTTAGATATTTTATTGCTCACCCAGAATGCACACACAAAAACCCTGACGTGCTAAAAAACTGTACCTAATTCTGATATGTCAGCACTCAGACAAAGATAGCACAAAGCCTGTAAACCTTAGAAATCTGCAGTTTGGGGCAACAATATTTGGAACGCAAAACTTAACCCCCCTTTCTCCCAAATAGCTACAGTAAGACTAACAGCCCTAGCTCTCCTTGGATGTGCCAGTTACTTTAACAAAAGGAAGAGTTACAAGGGACAGATTTAGCTTATTATTTGAAGACCTGCTCAAAAGTTAAGACTATAATTTAAGCCTCTCACCAACAGTTAAGGTCCAACAGCACATAAGCAGACTACAAGCGCAGGAAAGTGTGTGCAAATGCATTGGAATAGAAGATTTTGTCCCTGAAGACAGCAGCCAGTGATCAGTTACAGCACCTCCATTGTAGACTGGTGAGCATATCAAATCACAGTGTATGCAGAGCGTCCATGCATCGGACATGGCCCTTCTACCCTGACCATGGCCCGCCTTGCACTCCCCTTAAGGGAGGCAGCTGCGGAGTCCCACCCTGTCACCCACTGGAGATATGAAGTTCTCCAGTGTGTGCACTCCATTCCCATCCCCTCTCTTCCTGCACTAGTGAAAGGCAGCATGTTTGTGATATGTGGGGTCCTTCACTTCTGGGTATCACAACTCAGAATGCGACTCTGCGTTGTCTATATGCAAATGCAGTTTATGTAGGTTTCATTAATCACTTCTTTTTTCCCTCTGGCTGTGCATTTCATGGAGGAGAAAGTATATTTCTGTGAGGATTATACAGGGATGATGTGTTTACCTTGACATGCAGCAGAGGAGGGGACTTCTGTGCTTCTTGTCCTTTTCCCACTCGCCTGTTTACAGCCCCAACAAGCTCACTCTCCCCTTCTGCAGTACTGCTCAGCCTGAACATCATGATTTACAGTATTGTCCTTGACCTAAGGAAATTGCAGTCACTGGAAAGAAAAGATTAAAAAGCGGAAGTAATCAAACAGTTTGCAAGAGCCAACTCGTAAATAATGAAAAGGCTAGGAACATAATTAATGCCTATCAACAGAGTTTTGTGTCAAGAAAACCAAATTTAGTTCTTCGATCAGATTACAGGTCAGGTTGATAAATGTTACTGTGTGATATTCTGCAAGAGGTTTGAATTAACATACCATATTCTGATTTTAAAATTAGCACCATACAATATGAATAAAGCAGCTGTTAAACAGATTTAAACTGGCTAACCTAAGAGGTTCTTCTGTGATTCCAAAGAGAAACCATGATATTCAATATTATTGATCTGAAAATAAATATGAAAGCCATTCCTGATAAAATTTGCATCTGATGTGACAGTGGAATGAAAAAAATGTAAATAAGAGAGTACTAAAAATGAGCTGGTGACCAAGACATCTGTATAAATATGTATTCCAATACAGTCACTTGAAAAATCATACATTTCAGAACAAGAATGAAGGCTCTACTTCCAACACTATGCTGGAAGGCAATTTAAAAAGAATCTATGGCCCAGAGTGTACGAGGATGTCAACATGAGTGCTCTCTGTGCAGTACCGTGGCAAGGAGAGTGTGTAGAAGCAGACATAATTACCCGGCGATAGGAGATCACCTGATTTCTGTATAGAGAGACAGCAAGACAGGTACTGGAATATGTCTGTACAGCTATAAAAAACCCAAAGCTGTAAAAAAATAAAGAAGGAGAGTAAAAGAGACACAAAAAGGTTGAAATCTGAATAAAATGGCTCATAAGGAAATAATTTAAGAGCTCAATCTCTTTATATCATTTAAAAGACAATTAAAACCTCATTAAAGTCATCAGTATCTTTCCAAAGAGAAAATAAGGAGTACTAAAAAGTGCTTTAAACTACTGAAAAAAGAATAAGTAGTGATAGTTGGAATGTGAAATTAAAATTAATAAGAGAAACAAGGAAGGCAATTAAACAAATTTGCAAACAAAGTGATAAGATTAAGGTCTCTTGATAACTTTAAATTAAATCCAAGCACCTTCCTCAAAGACACATATTCTAGACAACCTCAATTTATTCTCTGTGGAATGTCAGTTTCATCCTGCAGATGTTGAGTGACAAATACTGTCATGTGATATATAGACAAACAGGTCATCTGAATCAGTTATCTCTTCTGTGCTAAATTCTATTAATCAGTAAAATAACCAGTTTGTGTATAGGATTGTTTTTTAGTATGTTTTCAATGACAACCTGAAATCTCTTCCTGGCCTCACCAAAGGAAAAAAATATTTTCCAAACAAGATGGACCAGAGGTAGTAGATGTGAAAGCAGCAACAAAAGATCCGCAGTGCAGACCTTCCCTCATGCTCTGCGCTTCCTGTCACTTGTGGCAAAGTCCAGAAGCCAACACAGAAGAATGCACACAGTGCCCCTTATCACCGCGTGCTTCTCACAGAAATTGTGCTCTGTCATTCTTTTCTAACCGTACGTGTATCATCAGCCCAGTATACATCTCATTCATCAGTCTCTACCCAGGAGACCAAAGACTCAGGAACAAACCAGAAACTTTCAGGCTAGATTGCCAAAAGAATGTCATCTTTCTAGGTAAAATACCACGTGTGTACACACGCAGACATAAATGTTTGACCATGCATTGCACATTACTTATGTGAAAACTCAGGAATGTATTGGATGTTTCATCCCAGCAGTGCACATTCTAACACTTGCAGATACAGCTCAATGAGTCTGAAGTGAGCGAAATTAGTCTTTTAGCAATGTGGCTCACTGAAATTGAATATTACAAGTACAGTAATCAGAAATATAATCACTTAAATTAATGCAATTGGGACCATGGTCAGGCAAATGGCTAATGAGTTTAACCTCTGACAAACACGAGGGAAGGGATTAGCAGTCAGAGCTCTGTTTAGCAAGATTAGGCCACTTTGTGCTTTTCTATGCCATCATTGAATACTGTTTGGTTTTGTACTGTGCCTTCTGTGAAAAAAAAAAAAATATTAATAAAAGGACAGGGAGAAACTTGTTACTTACTTCCAATGGGATCAACTGATTGTATGGCACAGGAGAGCTGCTGATTGTAAAACGATTTGTCCTTCCAGTGAAACCCATAGCAAACCTGGTTCTCCAATGTGATCCCAAAACAGAACCTGAAAGAAAAACACAAAATGTACACAGAAAACAAGATGTTTTCTTCCTGGAGCATAGAGAGTGGAATGTGTTGCCACAGTCATAATACAGGAGAAGGAACAATTAATGTAAAAGTCTTATACAAAATAGTCTGCTCTTCCCTTTGTAACCCAACTCTTGCATTGTCTTTTCTCTTTATCTTTCACATGTCTTGAGTGAAAAGAAGTCTGGAAAAGATACATTACTCTGCTTCCTATGAGGAATGATTTCTGCTACAGCATAAGAGAATTCAGAGGAATTCACGCAGGGACACAACTAGTTTTGCCCAAGAAAAAGGCCATTTGGGGCTCTAGGCAATTAAGGAAATAACTGAGAAATGTGGCAGAGAGTATATCATCCCTTTCTGATTTATTCTTTTATTTTTCAGGCACGATCAACTAAGGAGCAGCGTTGGGGAGGGCCTCTTCTCTCCAGAAATCACTCCTTGGAGGAGGAATTTGAAAGAGCAAAGGCAGCTGTTGAGGTATTACTTCATTTACTGTTTTCATTTTCAGCTAATGTGCTATGGATTTCTTATTCATCTTGCAGCACAAGTATAGGAGAAAGTTGGAACTGGATTATTTAAACCAGAGGAAAAGATACATTTCCTGGAGTTACTCATTTAAAATAGCAGTTCCTCTCTTAAAAAAAAAAAATGCAAAACCTTAGCTATAAATGAAGATTAGACAGAACCAACTTTTAAGCTCGATTTTTATTGCTATAGCAAGTGGGTCAAGAAAAATTCCCCATAAATTTAAGTACTTCCAAACTTAAAAGTATAAGAATGAAATACATTTTTCCCCAGCAACTGAATGTCTGCAATCAATTATTTAAGCTCAGACACAAACCAATTCTCCACAGTGAAACTGGAATTCAGAATCATTGATAAACAGAATTATTACCTGCTGTAATGGATAACTGCACGAAGAGCAGTAACCATGTACCAATGCATTTTTATAATTAGAGACAGAAACACAAGAGTATTCTTGTTTCCTGACAAATCAATTTAGGTTGAAAAGGTGCAGGTATTCAGATAGTTCTCCTATGGCACTTCTGTTTTTTTTCACTAAGTACTAGTTTTCCAACATGAAAAAATGCCTCTTGAGTGTTTTCTTATACCACTAGTCCCAGTTTAAATCCTGATCCTGTCTAGAGACAAGGTGGCATACAGGGTTTTTTTTAACAGAATCCAATAAAAAATTAGATATAAGCATGGATCTTGAGCATCATATCTTCTCAGGGGTTTAGTCGGTAACCGTTCAAAATCCCATCACCACAAAGAGCCAAGACAGCTGCATCCCACCAAGGACAAAAGGTCAGGCTGAATTATGTAACAGCCAGTGAAATGAGTTTTTAGAATGGAAATGATGAGGCTGTGAAACCGATTCCTCAAAACTGGTTATTATAGCATGAACTGCAGTCTCATTAGTCTCCAAATATCTAGAACATTTTAGGGATATTTGGGTTTAGATTTAAATTTTAGCATCTGTATTTTAATAGTCCTCTAACTCAAGGTTTATACCCTTGTAATTCCAGTGTTGGCAGTTGAACTATTCTAGATTAATATTGGATAATTAAAACCAAAACTAGCCCTAATTCATATGCTGGCTTCTAGCTAGAAACAGAATTTCTAATTTAAGAAATTAATTTGATTTGTAGGTTTTTTTTCACGATATGCTAAGGTAAGACGGCGTGGTTTCTACCATGGTTTCTTAGGATCTTATTGCACACAAAAAAATTCTTGTCTCAGCGTAAATGGACAAGTCCCAGGCTAAAATGGACACAATCAGTAAATCAGCTGTTTTATAAACTATACCTGTATAAACTAAATGCATTTTTCTTGCATTTTCTGAGTGCATTGTTTTTTCTTCATCAAACAGATTCTTTATGAACAACTGCTGGTGATGCACAATAGATTTTTTTGATGTCACACATCATACACATCTGCTCCTGGCAGGGAAGGAGAAACGTGTTTTCAAATTGCCACTGCTTAAAATCCACTAGATGTTCCTAATTGCACTGCAGACTGATCCTTATGGTGGGACATGTTATGCTGTAATCTGTGATTGCAACACAGGGAATCTGATGATGAACATCTCTGTGTTCTGGTTAGTGGTTAAGCAAATGATGTCAGTATTCTCCCAATTGCCAGAAACAATGTATGATGGGGAGTTCCCAGACATTCAGCAGAAAGAAAAATGAGTTGAGGCCAACAACAGATTACAAGACTTTATTGAATTACTTTACAGAGTAAAGTAAGGAGGAGAATATATTGTAAAAAAACAACCCTGCACATTAAAACGTCATTCTGAGGCAACAAAGACATATTGTTAAAATGCTTTAATGTAGTCTCAAAACCAACTATTAAAAAGAATCTAATTAAATGTTTCCCTAACTGTGTAGCTGGCAGTCTTAAGTTATTATTTCTGCTTAAAATAGAAACTTGGACCAGGTAGTTAAAACGTAAAGGAAAAGATTCTTCAAGACCTTATAGAGTAGTTATTTTCATTTGCATATGAAAAGAGTTGAATTTTCATCCTAGCTAAAATGAAGTGGTAAGAAAGCTGGAGTGATTGAAATAAATTGCAGCCCATCTCAGAAAGATTAGTGCTTTCTTAAGCGGAGAATAGATACAGTTCAAAAATTCATTTTTTAGTCTTTGGATGTTTCTGTAATATTCTTCAACTGGGAAAGCTCCAAGCAGTAAGATTAGCCAGAAAACTGATCAAGAAAAGGAAGCAAATCTCAGGTTCTTTGTGGCCTAGTTCGAAATGAATTAATTAACAATTCAGTAAATGAAGACACCAACTTTATCCTCCATCCAGGATTCACTTTAGAGCTTTGGGAATGGTTTTAAGATGTCAAACTTTGAGATTAATGAAGATCTGTGAGGTAATTCTTTCTTAAGAAGGTTTAAAGATGTCTATGCCATTGGGAAACCTTTTAAGAATAAAGAGGTAAGTAAATTAGTTTTTTTACTAGAGAGGGTCTAGATTCACTTGCAGCGATTGAGTGCTTGCAAACTTCGCTACCTTTTCTGTGATTCTGGAAATTGGATTTGATTTTTGCTTAATCCTTTTGCTGTACATATAAGGGAAGCAGAAATAACCTAAAGTCTTCATGATTTCCAAGTGCCATACCAAATATGTTTTAACATAGTCTTTCTAATAATTAGCTGTGTTTTACCAAAAATTGGTACTTTTGAATTTTTTTTAAATGCCAGCATGGGGATTCAGAACCATCCTGTACCCATACCTTGTTAAAATGATTGTTTTATCATCCACCATCCTATTGGTAATGAGTTAGAATAAATAAAAATGAAACCAAGAAAGGGCAAAAACTTCCAACTGAGAAACATCTCAGAGATGGTAAAAAAGCAATTTTGATATTGTCTTATTCCACATTTCCCTGATGTAGAGATTAAACTGCAGATGCCACACTGTTTTGTGAGCTTACGCAAAAGAAATTTTGAGCTGTCCTTCTCAGCATCATTTTATTTACAACACCATGTCACATGAGCCATCTGCTGTATAATATACTGTTATGAAGCATCAGAACATATTGCAGCTAAATTATGTGCCAATAGTAGGAAGAAGATGGGATTAATTTATTCTAGCCTAGGAAAACATAGTCCAGAATCATCAGCTTTGTGCCTCCCATTAATACCGATTAGAAACCTTGCTGTACCTATGATATTTCTGTCTCACTGTTTCAACATCCCTTTTGGATATGCCTAAGACTGCCTAAACCACATTTTATATTGGGATCTACTAGCTTGAGCCCTTCAAATCCATTTTATTTGGTACTCTCTCAAATCACAACAGGAATCTTTGCCTTGATATACATTTTTTAATCTCCAAGCCTTACCAAAAAGGCATATTTCAAATTTTGCTTTGACAAGATATCAGCTGAGGAAATCTTACGTAGTTAGCACATAAGTTTAACTTACTGTGTCTTTCACATTGGAGACTATGTTGATGCAGTAATTCAAAGAAAGAACAAGCACAGAACCTTTCTTTCTCATGCATTAATCGAGAAGGAACATTGCAAATTCATTTTTGGCAGTAAAGGACAGGCAAAATTCTGTTCTAAAAGTTATAAAAATAAGTAAATTTAGAAATTAGCCAGCAATAGTCAGAAAGTAGACCCCCCACCCCACCCCCTTTCACTGTATCATAGGAAGTAAAGAGCCTAGAAATATTTTGCCTCCCATTTGTTTAACTGCTTCAGCATATTTCTAAATACTAAGATTAAAAATAGCCTTTTTGACAAAATGCAGAATATTCTGCTTGGAAGTAGTCAGATGGTACAAACATTTTTCCTGGTTGTCATTCCGCTTAACTGCTGCAGATGATCTGAGAACGTGTTAAATGTGTTCAACTGGTCGGTAAACTTTTGGTATGTCCAAAGTAATTTGTGAGCATTAAGGTAGCAAAAACATTGAAATGAGGTAATTGGCACCAGTCACATAGCAAATAGAGTTAAAATTAGATCTGGGAGTCTTGATTCGAAGCCAGATTTTCAGAAACATTCAATATTAATTTAACCATCCTGCCACTGAAGTCAATGGAAAAACTGCTACTAACGACAGCTGAAATAGGCTTAGGCCTTTAAGAAAGACTGCGTAATATTTACAGTTCTCTTCCTCAAGGACATTAAACTACTCTGCTACTGACATTGTGATTTGTCACAGCAATATTATGGCATTTTATCAGGTGCCATAATTGTGCATGATCCAGTTGCTCAGTGCAGCTTTGCCATACAAGTTTCAGAAGCCCCACATACTGGATGTACTTAGAAAGCTGAAGCTGGGACTTATGCCCATTTGGCCCAAACAAGCAAATCTTTGCTTGTAGTTGCAAAATAACAGATGGATCCTGGCCTGCGTCCAAGTAACATATGATGAGTAGAGAGATGTTATAGCGAAGCAGGTCTTCTCCCCATTACATTTTTCCTCCACCTTTGACTCACTATAGATAGAGGTTAAGCATGGTTACTTGAATGCATAGTAATTCATTAGCTTTTTAAATGGAGTATGCACACAGTGAACTCCTGTGTGAATTATAAATATGTAATTAAGCAGCAGAATTTGAACTTAAGACCTAAAATCACTTATACGCTTGCTTATAATCTGCAGAAATGTGATTTGATATGCTTCCAAAACATTGATTCATAAGGGATTTCTGTGCGAAAAATACAAGCAAAAATACTAATATAAACATCACATATATTTGTATTTATGTATAATTAGTTCTATAAGTTAATCTGTTTAAAAAGGTATTACTAATTACTTTTCAATAGTTTTATTAATATTAATCAGTAGGAAAGGGAAATTTCCACTCCTTTACCTCATCCTGAATCTCAAAATTACTGCTAGCAAAAACATGGTCAAGTAATTTTTATTTCAATGCAGAGCAGATTTGCACTGAATGCGAAATAATCAATAGAGCCATCTGTTGAACAGGACCGTTTAAGGGATTCGAGTGCCTCTGGTCATGGCTGATAACGGTAAAAGAGGGAGCAATCTGATTCATTATCCTAGCCTTTTCAAACCCTAAATGGACATTTCAGCACAATCTCACAACTATTTAAAAGACTTCAATTTCAATTTCCTTCAAATTTGGAATAAAAGCAAATTTGGAAACCTTGGAAGTTGTGTCACAGAGTTTTCAAGTTCTGTTACAAAGAGTGAAATCCCCTCTCCAGGAGTGAATGATTCATGTTTGTTTCCTAGTCCACAGAGGAAGATAGCAGGTACCTTCACTGATCCAATAACTGCATAATTCAGACAATTCTGAGTCTCCTGGAAGAAAGTGCTGGATATCAGGAGGCACGTACTACAGTAACAGCAGAAGGGAAATGCCTGTTAGATTTCTAGAGAGGGAATGCACCTTGCCATTTGTAAAGAGCCTTATGATTTACAGCAACCACGCCTAATGTTAGCCAGTACAAGTCCTCCTAATCCTTCACATCTAGTCTCAAATGTTCTCATCGCTGACTCGTTCTGATATGGTAATAGTCTGTGCTTTCCTTTTCCAAGTACCTAAGGAGGGTTGTAGCAAATCATGAGATCACAGACTAAGCTCTATTTTTGCAAATCATGCCTGTCTGTGGAGCAGTAGCAAAGAGATCCGTCTTGCAATGAAGATTCAGACAAAACTATCTGGACCAGTTTATAAAACCTTCAATTAATTTTGATTAGCACCTTACTCTCAAATAGTTCTGTCTACACCTCAGCAGAATTATTTGTGCTGTTGTCTTTGACACAAAAAAGCTGAGAGACTGTGCCTCCAGTTTTGTCAGTTCACTGAAGTTCTGGCCATGACCTTGCAGGAACTGGAGAACTTTGCAAAGGCTCATAGAGCTGAGCATATATTCTGCTATGGAACTGCTTTTCAGGGTTTATGACTAATGTGTGGAGGCTGAAAAAATAGCACCTTAACTTGGATTCTCTCCTCTTTTTTTTTTTTTCAGTCCTATCTCTGTCTCTTCGCGTCATTTTCTAGTAGCCACAGTGGTTCCCTCATTCTGGTTGTTACACATCCTAAATCTCATGCTTTTTTCATCATTTCTGTTTCTCTTGTATACGCATTTTTCCCTCTTGTCTTTGAGCTGAATGTTAATCTTACTGTACAATTTTATGATCTCTCATAGATTCCTCTCAGCCGTACAGTATATAATGCAATATTAAGATTTCTCCACCATGTCAAAAGCCCCATTTTTATTAATTCTCTTGTGCAAACACCCTCTCTCTAAGCTTTGCCATTACTCTTTTACATAGTTGAAAATGATGCTGAATATACCAAAGCAGGATGCTGCTTCTCTTCTAAACTGTTTTATCTATTGCTATTCTTTAGCATGTATGCTTAGTTGATTTTTTCTTTTTTTCTTCTTTTTTTTTTTTTTTTTTTGACCAGGGACTAGAAGCATTCATTTCCTTCAAATCTTATGTCACAATTTGTTGTTAACATCAGTAAGATGCAGTATAAGCTGCTGCAAATCCTGCTTCAAATAGAACACATGCTGCTGCTGAGTTTTCTGTTGATGAAATGCATTCCAATATAAGAGATGAAATTTAATTATATGGAATTCCAAATATGAGCTGTAGTATTTCAGTCAGTATGATTATTAACAGAATTAATACTGCCTAGCAAAATTGCCAGACTCAGACCACTGGTAGAAAGAAATTAAAAGCTTACCATTTTATTTTAAACTTTTGGGGTTTGTTTTCTTCCCTTTTTTCCTCTTTTTCTTTTAGTCAGACACAGAGTTTTGGGATAAAATGCAAGCAGAATGGGAAGAAATGGCTCGCAGAAACTGGATTTCAGAGAACCAGGAAGCACCAGGGCAAGTCACTATCTCAACCATTGAGAAGGTAACACAAAGGTTTTTAATACAGTACATCCTTCCTGTGAAAGTTCAAGATGAGCCTCAGCTATTCAAGAAAACTCTTTGGACTTGGAAGCTAATTTTACCCAGAAGAGTTCATCCCCTTTAACTGTCTGTGAGTGGGGTAGATTTAAAAGACCTTACTGTAGTAAGAAAACATTTAGACTTGCACACTGCCTAAATTCAGCTGAAGGGATCACAAAGCAAACTGCTGGATTATGGGCACTTTTGAAGATGGGCACTTAAGGAAGAGCACAAAATAAAAAAATCTGGGCTGGCACATTCAAACACTGTTGAGGACAGAAATGATACAGATTGTGTCACTCTTCTTCATGCCCTCCATTGTATGTTTTTATTTGATTTCTATTATGTAGCTGATATTAGCATACACCCTTTACACTGTAGTGGCAAGAAGAGCAAAAAGCAAAATTTAAAGAAATACTAAAATAAACTCAGGTGCTTGCAACACTGTTCTGTATCTTGAAGGTTAATTGAAGGTTTCAGGGTATCAACTGAACAGACATCAGGTTACAAGAACTGCAGAGAGTCAGTTGCTTGATGTGTGCTCTTTACGATCAAATTGAACGTACTGGGCTCATGCTAGGTTCAGCTCTGCTGTTATTGCAGGCAGTGTGAGTTGTTGCCATTATCTTTGATGGGAACAGGAGAGCCCAACACAAGTACCAGTAAGTATAACTTCAGAGCTAAAGCAAAAGTAGAGAGAGCTGAAACATCAATGTCCAGTGATGCTGACTTCTTATACATTTTGTCATTGAAATGTTATGGGGGAGCTCCTACCATTTTCCTAGAACAAAGGATGTTTACATCCAATTGGAAAGTAGCGAGTCATTTAATTTTATAGAGTTGTCATTCCTTGCTACAGTGCTTCATCATGGGTCCATTATCTCTTTTCTCCAGGGTTATTATTTCCATACTGAGAATCCCTTCAAAGACTGGCCTGGTGCTTTTGAGGAAGGACTGAAAAAAATGAAAGAAGGTGACCTGCCAGTTACAATCTTATACCTGGAGGCTGCTATTCTACAAGAACCCAATGATGCAGAGGTATTCACTCACTTGCCTTTTACTGATAAAGGAAAAGGGGACTGCCTTTAGCATGCAATGATGGAATGATTTCAGGGCCCAAACCTTTGCTAGTCATGACTGACTGAAACAGATTGAATGCTAACGGTGGTTTTGGAACAGTCTATACCTTGAAATAGATAAAGGTTAGCTTTTCACAAGATAGGAATCTATTTTTTAAATTACAGCATTTCCAAGTTGTCATTTAAAAGCATTCAAAAGAGACAATATTGCAAACCTTTCCTTCTTTTCCTGATGTTTTCACACTATCTTTTAAATACTGCTATTGAAAAGATGAACATTTTTGCTTTAACAAGAATCTTGACAAATTTTTAAAAGGTGTATCAATTTCTGCAATACTGATGTTTTCAGTGAGTATATATTTAAAGTCTGTTTTCTGTGAAACTTGAAAAGTATTTACAGTGTAAGTATCTAGGTCTCTTTGAATCTATTTCTACATTAAATTAAACACCAGTATTTCAAAAAGTAGAGCGAATCCCCAGACCCTGTAAATCCCTTAAATCTATACAACTTGAGAATTTTTCTTCACCAGTTTCCATAAAATTGTAGCAACATTTAAAATATACAGTAACTCAAATTTAAGAAATCAGCATGTGATCATGCACTGACAGAATACCTTTGCATTCATTGATTGTAAACATTATCAGGCCCAAAGATATTCAAAACTGCATTGATTTGTACTGTTTGTATGCACACTGTAGAAAAAAATCTGTAGTTAGTGCTGGACAGATCTGCTATTTTTATTCACCCCACTGCTTAACGGTGATATTAGTTGTAACTCTGCTTGCAGTTGGGTATATGTAACAAAATAACACAATGATGATTATTTTTGCAGGCCTGGCAGTTCCTGGGTATAACACAGGCAGAGAATGAAAATGAGCAGGCAGCCATTGTCGCCCTCCAAAGGTAGATGAAGATAATTGCTAAATAAGGGGTCTGATGAGTATTAGGTAATGGAGGCTTAGGTATATTTAATGTCATACTTATCTTGTAACATGAAGCATTTATTTAACTAAGTAAAACATTGACATAGATATAGAAATCTTCCCAGTGACTTCAGAAGGATGGCTAGCAATTAATATTTCTGTTTCATTAAATAAGTGCAATATTTAATCTAGTCATTTAATTAGTTGCACAAAAGAAAAAGTCACATGACCTGATAAACATGAATTAGGCATAATGCAAATAAAGTGCCTTTTTGATATTCTAGCCACTTGGCATATTTTCTGTAGTCCTTTAATGAAGACATTTTCTTAATTGGAACGAGCTCCCTTCAGCCACTGAATACTAAACTGACAACATTTTTAGGTTAATAGAAATGTGAAGATCACAGTATACTTGTACGTGAAATGTCAGTTCCAAAATATCAGCATTATCATTGTCTTTCTGTAGGGGGTTTTCATGTTTCCATTTGAAGTAAGTACCCTCTCCATATTCAATTGCATTAGCAATGTTAACCATCAAGTCATTTCACCTAAGAACACTCTAACTTATTTATATGCAACTTGTTAGCTTACCTGGATAGAAATCCAAGGGGTTGCCTGATTTAGGGCTTGCTCATCCCCGCAGTTTTGAAACAAGCAACAGTGATGTTCCCACAATAGACTAGATTCTATTTTCAGTTAATGGTATATAACCATAGAAAGACTACTTGAGTTGATTGGCTCCAGCTTTATCAAAGAAAAACTGAGAATTCAGGATGACTGAGAGATTCATAGGGATAGAAGAAATTTTGTCTTCAAAATACTTTTTTGTATAGCTGCAAACTATATAAAACTGTTGGCTTGAATTCACATAAAGCTTCTCTTTGTTTACTAGACAGATATTATAAACATGAATCTACCTACATTTACTCATAACCAGAAGGATGAAACCAAAAATTGTATATATACAGTTATATACATATGTGTGTATGCACAGCAATGTGCATGCATGTGTCTGTATACATATGCATAATGCACTTATCACAGAAAAATAAGACAAAGCCCCTTCTTTAAAAGTATTATTGGGTAGATGTTACTTGTGTAAGTGATTTCTTTTTACACAGATTACTTTGGAAGAATTCAAGAATTATGTTTGACTAAAAAAAAAAATACCTCAATATGTTTTTATTTTCTGCCTAGGTGCTTGGAACTACAGCCAAACAACCTAAAAGCTCTGATGGCCCTGGCTGTAAGTTATACTAACACTGGCCATCAACAAGAAGCCTATCAAGCTCTAAGAAACTGGATAAAGCAAAATCCAAAATACAAGTATATAGCGAAAAGCAAAAAAGCGTCCCCAGCACTTACCCGGAGAATGTCTAAGACATCAGATGAAAGGTAAATGCAGTCTAAATCCTGATGGTGTACATTGTAATGACATCACTAGAAAAGATGGTGCATGCTGTGCCCCCTTACTCTGTAGAAGTCCAGCCTGTTCCCTGTGATGGAAGACTCAATGTCTCTAGTGGCAGGAGTGTGAAGCCAACACAGGACATTTGGTTTAGCGACTGAAGGCTATATGCCATCCCTGGAAGCTAAAAACAAAAACAAAAAAACAACAAAAACAAATGGCTGAAAAGAGATCTTTCCCCTCAACTCTCATCACTTTCCTCTGACTCTGTCTGCTGCCTCTGTATTCCCACATCTTGCATTCTCATTCTTCAGCTGCTTCCCAGTCCATACCAGGCCTGTATCTTGCTCTACGTGTGTGCGTTCTTCCTACTGTTCATTGTATTTCCTATATCCCAGACAAGCCACTAGCATCGAGGAATGATAGACATTTTGCAGTGGGACATGGCTTCAGTTCACTGAAAATATTGGGAGGTAGCATCTGCTTGTTTAAAAGCCATTCTGGTTCTAACCAAAGAGATAGTGTAGTCATTTTATTTTACTTCAGCCTAGCATATTATAATGGGAGCTAGCAGCCATTTTAAATAACAAAACAATTCATGAGTTGGCAGCTCTTTGTCATGATTTCATGAGGTCGATAAATAAGTATCTCTGAACTGTGAGATGCATGATAAAGTCATTAAAGGTACAAACATGATTTATAGAACTAAACCACTAGGCCTAGCTCACTGCGTGCTATTTTGAAGACAGGCCTTATGTTTTCCCCTTATCACTAATAAGCCCTAGATTGACAAGATAATTTAGTATAAGCAAAAATAAAATATGCAAGTTCTGCTTAACTGCTAAGTGTTTTATTCTACATTAGCTTCATCCTGCTGACATCTGGTATTGTCAGTGCAAAGGTTTTATGAAATCTACAGTGGGTACAGAAGTCTTAAATTTCGGCATCTTTCTTCAGGGGTCTTGGCTAAACACTTGATCTATTCCTCCTAAGAATGACTATTTTTGCCAGTAAAGAACTCTTTTACATCTGAGACGCTCATCTAATTTTAATAGTTTTAATAAGCCTTCATGTTACCTCACTTGGGTTCATAGCTGCACTTTGATTTCATTACATAGGTGAACTTCTTTATTCCAGACATGAGTTTACAACAGCACCTGGAAGTAAATCTTTGCCATGATGAAGATGAAGAAGCTTATTTTCAAATTTTAGGAGTATATCACTTCTGATAAATCCACTACAAGGATTTTAATTTCTGGCTATGCAATCAATATTGCAATAGTTGTAAGGAACTGTAAGATGGAACTTCAAGTTATTTTTCACCCTTGTCTAGCTCATTACTTGAAGAAGTAAAGGATTTGTACCTAGAGGCTGCTCACCAGAATGGTGATATGATAGACCCTGACTTGCAGACGGGACTTGGAGTTCTTTTCCACCTGAATGGAGAATTTAACAGAGCAATAGATGCATTTAGTGCTGCTTTAACTGTTCGACCAGAGGTACATTTTATGCTTTTACATTTGTAAGAATTTAGCTTTACAGGCCATTTTCTTTCTCCCCTCTTGATCAGGCTAATATTAATGAGATGTCACTTCAGCCATTAAAATTTTAATACCCGAAATAGAAATGTTAATTACAAGACAGTCCCATTTAGAAGCAGATTTATACATGTCCAATTTCTAGCTGTGTGCTGATTAATTGTTCTAGTTATATAAAGTTGCCTATAATCATGAGTCAGAACCTCACATTCCGTGTCAATTAAGAGAAGATACGATACTGTTATTTTCTGCAGTCCTCCTTACTTTGCAAGCAAAAATGAGATATTATGTCCCTTTTTGACACTTACAGTAGAAAACTCATTTTCTCACCAGGACTATACATTATGGAACCGTCTTGGAGCAACATTGGCAAATGGGGATCGAAGCGAAGAAGCTGTCGAGGCATACACGCGTGCTTTAGAAATACAACCTGGCTTCATTAGGTCCAGATACAATTTAGGGATAAGCTGCATCAACCTAGGGGCATACAGGTAAGTTACAAAAATGTGTAAACAAAAAAGTCAGGGATCATAACTACCAAGTCAAAATTCATTTTTTAGGAGCTATCTAAGAAAAAACAATCAGAATATAGCTACATAATCTCAGCTACTGTCAAATTTTGTAGTTATTTTTACAAAGTACTAACAAAGCGATGATACTTTTCTTATATCCACAAATTCTGCATAACAGAACCATTTAATTTGTGTTCAAAGAAAAGAAATCGCTCATTCAGCAAGCTGCTTAAGCATTTGTTTAGCTCTAAGTGCAAATACTTTTATTATAATCAGTGGGATTGTTCTCACACTTAAACTTAGTCCTGTGCTTAAGAGCTTTTCTAAAAGAAAATATAAGAGCCTGTCTTTAGAAGGGAAACTTCAGTTAAGCTGCTTCAAGTAGTTAATGCCATCAAAAACACTCTCAGTACATCCTTCAGGAATCAAGAGTGATATTCCAGGGTCCCAACTGTCAGCTTAGGACAGTTAAGATGAAGGGGAGCTACACAGCAATGAAGTCAATACCCGCAGATGTATGAATAGACTGAGCTCTGCATTACTACAAGCTGTGTCCACTTGTTTGAAGAAAATCAAGCAAGAATAACACAGAGAGACTGATGAACTGCATTGTAAAATAACATACTTGAGTCTAGCATAGTACTTTAGGAAGTTTTACTCTAGTTGTTAAGCAAATTATATTGCTTATTTTTTTCTTCTTCCCTACAGAGAGGCTGTCAGCAATTTTCTCACTGCTCTCAGTTTACAAAGAAAGAGCAGGAATCAACAACAGGTTCCCCATCCTGCTCTATCAGGCAATATTTGGGCAGCACTTCGAATTGCTCTGTCTATGATGGACCAGCCAGAACTATTTCAAGCTGCCAACGTGGGTGATCTAGACATTCTGTTAAGAGCTTTTAATCTAGAGCCGTAATAAAAAGTATCCACAAATCAATTAAGTTGTATTAGGAAACAAAGAACTCTTTTATTACTCATCTCAAAATGACCACATTTTTCAAAAGATCACAGCCATAGATCAGTAGGGGAATTCTCTCAGACATTATTCAAAAAGGAAAAGTTCAAAAGCACAAAATATTGTTAATAAATTCAAACTGAAAGGATTGAAATGAGCTGTGGCTAATCTGACAAAGCCCTGAACTAGATGAAATAGCCATTTCGGAAGAATTTTCATCCCAGGCAAGCTGTATCTCTCTATATATACACAGCTATACAAAGAAAAATATATTAAGAACAAACCTAGATAATTGTTATTGCACATTAGAATGGCAAGCAATGCATCCAAGGAACCTGCTTAGTAGCTCATCGCACTATGCTGACATCACTTTGCCCTACAACATGGATTCTCTATCCTTTGGTTTCCTTGTTGAAAAGTCTTCTCGAGGTCCATTTTTAATATAGGTGTGAAAATAGACGCATGTAAAATGGATGTATTTTGTTTTGAATATATTTATTAGTAGGCAGTCAAGAAAATTTTTGCTTCCAAAGGTACCTCGATTAATTTGGGCCCAATTCTGCAGGCTCATAGAGTTGTAAACTATGTGCAATGTTAAGAGGAACATTGCACATGGAGGTCTACGGGATTAGACTGTGTTCATATGGGAAGGCCAAGTGTTGCCACCAGAAGTGGTAATTTGCACTAGAATTGTTGCTCTTCAAACCAGCTATCCCTGATCTTGGATGAAGAATGTGTGCTTCAAAGGAGCTCATAGCAGGATCTGCACCTATCTATGTACTTATGCACTTTAATCTTTCTTTTTTGTAAAATAGTGCTATGCTTATTAATTACTAACAACAGAATGTACAGGATAGCCTTGTTGGCATAGAGGACCAAATATCGTTTCCTAAAATGTGATGAGAGGGTTTTCACTATTCTTATGTTTAAAAAGTACAAATACAGTAGAAAACTGCAATATCTATTAGAAAGATTATTCTATTATGCATCCATGAGGTACTACACACATACATGCACGTGCATGCACATACATGTTGTATGTGAATTACGTCATTTCAGAACATAATAAGCCACAGATCTTTATTGCAAATAAAGAAAAAAATTCATAGGAGTTAATGCCTGAAGACCATGCTCAAGGGAAAATTTTCCCTGAAAAAAATTGGTCTATGTAATGCTGGTAGGATTGAGACTAAGATTTGATCCTGCTGTTACGGCAAGCAGTAGCAAAAGTCTCAGTGACCTCCGTGATCACAGACTAAATCCTTAGATAACATCAATATTTGTAGCTGCTCTAAAAATGTATATATATTTACACCATCTTAGTTTTTCCCTGATAGGATGAATGGGGAACAGCACTGGGGGCAGTACACTGCCACGTGAATTCAGCTACAGTCAAACACATTTAGCTCAAGGTGAATGTGTCAATCAAAGACAGGAATAGAAATTTTTAAGGAGGTAATTTTCAGTTTCTGATATTTTTAATATTTTTCCTAAATAATGAAAGATAAAAAGTGTAATTAGACAGCTACTGTGTTGATCTGTGGTCAGGAATTCAATGTGCAAGGTAGCTATTGGAATGTGTTAAAGTGGGACAAATAGCACGTTTCCCATAAACAGCATTAAAAGAAAAATCCAGCTCAATCAGCTGGATTAAAAAAAAAAAATTCCAACTGCACAGATCACAGAGAAAGAAGCTCTGTGGGAATTGGACAGTTTCACCAGTACAAACCTAAAGTTTCTTGCAGCTGTCTGTTATTTTGAGCAACCACTTAAAGGAAAATTCCATGTAAGACAGTGTAATCACTGCATCTAATCACCAACTATAGTTTGTTAGATAATCAATTTTCATTAAAAAAGTAAAAGCCTTACCCCTCATTCCCACTGAATAGAGATGCTGAAACAGCTACAGGAATTTTTTTAATAGTGCTTTATTAATTCATTGTTTACATATATATTCCTATCATCTATGAAGCATTTCGTAACTGATTCCTGCAACTTTTTCTAACGATTGGTTATCAAGGAATGACTGGGGATGTCATTTTAGCTAAGTGGGCTGCTGTATGCATATCTGCTGATAACAGCTTGCTCTTTTGCTTTGACAGCGATGTGTGATGACAGCTCTCTATTGATAAGGCAGAGCAGAAGGTGCAGTGCAATTGAATCTGGAAAGTGATAAGAGAGAAAGGAGGAAGCTTTGAGAAGAGGCTGTAAAGCAAAGGCATATGTGCTTAGATTTTGCTTGATGCCCTGCCATCACACACATTCTTCTGAAATATCCTCTGTGCTGTGGTGTAGGATAATCAGTGCTTATCCAGAAGAATTAGTTGTTCAGGAGCTTTCTTTTTATACCTTTCAAATAAAAAAAAAAAAGACTTAACGGCTTGACTTTGCAGAGTCAGAATGACAAGGGGCATTTGATACTGATGGCAGTTCACTAAACCTCTTCTTCTCTAGCATGTGGACAAGTAACACAGCAATTCTGTTGGGAAAACTTAATGCAACTCCTAGCCTCCCCAGAAAGAACAGACTAAGTAGGTAGCTTTTGATTTATCCTAGGATGCACTGCTCAAAACTGTATTCATCTGCTGATACATGTCCACACCCATGTGATTAGTACAAGGAAAGTTGTCTGTGTAAAGCTAGAGACAAATCACCTGGGCTGAACTCTGCCTCCCAAGGGGATACTCAGGCCCCCAGTTCATCACAAGCACTGCAGTTCTGCTGTACAGGACACAGGCTACAAAGCCGATCCAAAGAGATTGTGCACACTTCTTGTAGATTATCTCAACTGTTCTCTCCTGTTTCAGAGAGTCTATGGCCAGTTAACCATGTACCACTGACCGAGACACTGTGTGAGGGAAAGACTAAAGCAGACAGACATAGGGTACAGTGGCAGATCTCCTCATACCAGACACCAGTTCTGGTCTGGTCTGTGGGAGAGTGGCCAGTGACTGAGCTCACCTCACACTAACAGGTCAGGCTCAGCAGCTCTTGGTACTTCTGGGGACTTGTCAATATCCTGGGCTTTATTGTCCTCCTTTAGCCCCCACTGCCAAGCATTGCCAGTGCAGAAGACAGGATTAGATACAGCTTTGATCTGACCTCCTCATGGCGTTTCTTAAATATTCAGTGGCAAGCATGTATATTTGCCTGAAACAGCAAGAGGAAACACGTGAGGAGGCTGCAGCATATTAACAACCTAAAGAGGAAATTCATCTACTCAGACTTCTTACCAAGCACGAGGTAGGATAAATAAGGCGGCTGCTGAACAGTAGCAGATTGAGCCTGAGAGTGAGAGACAGGAAATCTGGGTCCTCTTCTCAGTGCTCCCTGTGAGCTCAACCAAGTCAAAACCTCCTGCCATCCCTGACTTGCCCAAGTGTGCAAGGAAGGAAGGTGGGCAAATAACAGCCGTTGCATGTGATGGCACTACCTGAGAGCAGGGGAGCGCAGCTCTCTCACAGACTGCATGGGTGAAGTCATCACTCATGTAAATTGAAAGGTAACATGTAAACACGAGGTTGCTCATGTCTAAGGAAGCAGTTTCACATAGAGACTAGCAATTTCAGCAAAGAGACTCAGAGACATTTCAGGATAACAACTGTACAGCATCTATAGGGTGATGCCAAATTAGAGTGCTGCAATGGTTTATCATCATCTCCCACCTGTTTCCCCTTCTTGTTACTCCTCTCTTTCTCCAGAGGTGATTTATCACTGCCGGGTGATTGATTCCAAGTTTTTGAGTCTTTCATCTATTCTATATTTCATGCAATTAAAAAATGTTTTCCTAACCCCAGCTTGTGACTGTCCCTCTCCTCTGCAAAGCTTTATAAATATTTATGACCTTTAAGTCTGATCCATCAAGCTGAACACTGAAAGTCTGTAGTCTTCACAGGAGTGCTCAGCACTTTGCGTGATCAGCTCATGTGCATGTATTCAGGTACCAGACGAAGGCTGGCCTCCAATACCACGGCACATACTGAACAGGCACTGAAATCAAAGTGATTACTTACAGAGTGAGGCTTTGCAATGAAAGCAATAGGCTCATTTCTTGCTGATCTCTTTAAACTGTAATGACTAGAAACCTTGTTGCAATAGACTGGTTTACATCAGTTTGAAAAATCGATTTGATCTGCAGGTAAACATATAAATATCCATATCTAATGGTATTTCCTTATGATCTGATAAATCACAGCGCTTGTAAAAATATTGAGGGGAAGGTTGAAATGACACAAAACCTCATGTGACAATATTGCACGCAACTATATTAACAAATAACCACACTGAAATATTAACACAAAGCATGCAGTAATGTTACTTTATATGTTTACAGAATGCATGCCGAAGGTCCACAATTTGGGTATTTTTAAACTATTGATTGATATCTTCTATGGGATATTTTAAAAGTACTTTGCATCTGCCAAACTCAAAACTGAGTTGTTCATGTTATTTGGAACAGGTTAGACCAAACAGAGAGCCCTTTTTAAATTCTATCCTTAGAAATCACTTTGTGTTGTGGATTTCATGTTTGCTTCAAGTGTTTAATTAATGACAGACATCTGTAGTAACAGCTTTTGCAGACATGTTTTAGTATCCTCTTAAGAATTAAAAAGCTAAATATGCAGAACTTTCACAGTGAAGCTGGGTGTTTGGATTTTCACATTTTCTTCTTTAGTCTAAACCAGATAACACCAAATTAGAGAGAAAGGTTCCCAGAACCAGTCTACACTTACCATGGCTGGCTTTTCAAACTTGTCCACTAGCTCTGAAGGCAGCTCAGTGTCTGACTGTCCTGTTTGAAATACCTAGATGTAAAACATCACAGGATCTGAGTATCTGCTGCATCCACTGATTTCAGCTGCAGACACTTAACTCAGCTAAAAGCTCAGAACATCAAGTTAAGCACAAAGAGCTAATGAGCCACTTTAGAAAACTTGGGTCTGTCTGTCAGATGAAAAGGAAGACCC